AAAAAAAAAATAGTAAACAAATGAAGAGATTAATATCCCACCAAAGTGGTAATGAAGATCACTTTAAACTGAAAGCATCTAAACAATTAGCAGCCACAGGGGGAAAAAAACAAAACAAAAACTCCATTTTCTAAACTTAAGCAGAGCCTCCCAAAAATACAGCTACCATGGATCCCCCAGAGCAAGTTTCCTCTTTGGGAGAAAACTAGCTCATAGCACTAGGAACTTCAAATCTAGCCGTCCATTAGTATCAAGAAGCCCAAAAAAGTGGGACATGAACCTAGTCCCAGCTACTCAAGAGGCTGAGGCAGGAAGGTCACAGGGGTTTGAGGTCAGCCAACATAGTAAGACCCTAAGTTCAAAAAAATTATATATATACACACCCCCACACCCACACCAACACACACACACACACACACACACACACACGCACACACATACCTATATATATCCCAAAGAACTGTCCATAGTTTCCCATTGAAGCCCTACCTCCATCCTCTTCCTGTTCTTTGTTCAGCTGGCATGTAAACTTTACCTCTGGCTATTCACAGAGCTAATCATTATGGAGTACAGAGTGCTTCCATACATGTAAGATAAGCCTTGTCTTTTCTCCCATTAATCTGCATATTGTAGTTCCTTTCCCACTGGCCCCTCACTGTTTACCACCGTTGGGACCTAAGTTGATAGAGGAAAAGTTTTTCCTTCCAACACAAAGCACTACTTTTTTCTCAGAAGCAACAAAAACTAAATTAAGGAAAGATTTCAGAGGCTACCATAGTCATTTAACTGTGATGAGATGATGCTATCTTTCATTCTGAAAAACCTAGAAAATTTCAAAAGAAACCTCTTAAAGCATACCTCTTCAAATATGAAAACAGCTAAACTTCATGAAAACAGCTAAACTGTAAACAGTGAAAAGAGAATTATAAAAGAGGAACCACAGGATGCACTTAACCTCCCACTGCTATTTGATAATAAATGCCAAGCTCCTGCTGAAAGCCACTAAGCTTGAAAACTACTCTGAACACAGAACAAGATAACCTCAACATCCCAGTGCTCCATCTGAGATACAGGGTCTACCTGTAAAGCAGACGGTGAGGAGTAAAGCCTACACAAAACAAAAAATTCAAAAGTAGCAACCATTTCTGTCAACGTAGAATGAAAGTCAAATCTGTTTTGAGGAATTATTTTGAGAGCAACTAGAAACTACATTAATTTTTTCTACTTGTGGTCTAAAAGGGGCATACAGAACATTTTTGCAAGCAAGAAGTACTGGACCTCACCAAGCAGGCAGCGTCTTTCTCAGGGAAGCACTGGACCTTCATGAGGAAGCAGCTGAGAGGTGTTAAGGGAAAGAATACTTGACACATGGACAATCAGGGTCAACTTCAGTTAATGAGAAATGTGGCACTAATTTTAGAAACTGAACAAGGGAAGAGAGGTGTGACCAAAATTAAAGAGTCATGGATTAGAGGGATACTTACCCAACAAGCTAATATGTTTTAAAAAGCATGAAATTTCAGACCGACTGCTGACTTAATAACACGGAAGATAGTTTTGGATGTCATCAAATTTGCAAAAAACTTGACTGGATGCCAGCAGTAGATGCCTGGCTTTTTTGAGGTACATTAGTCACTGTAATAAAGCAGTGGCCTGGGAAGGTACTACACATAACTGTAGTCCTATTAGCCAATGTAAGGCAAATAACAAGAAGGATAAAATCAAAGTCTAATTAATTTTCAGGTCCTTTTGGTAAGGAAAATTTTTAAAAATACTACCAACAATGCTACACAATTCTGAATTTGTCTGAATTGACATCTCACCAATTATTTTTCTTAAAGCTTTAAGAATGGAAAAGAACTTGAATTCTCTTCTCTGATTTTTCTTATTCTTTCTCTGATAAAAATTGAAATTGAAATATTCAAACATTTGCAATTTTATAAATAATGACTTCCTACCATTTTCAGGACCCACTCCCAGCAAAATATATTTGCAAAAATAGCATTACCCAGTAGCAGGTTATTATGTATAATAAGTATATAAAGTAAGTTTCTTATACTTTTTGGAAATGTTACTATAGTGTAAAAAATTCTTAGCAGAAAAAAATAATAAAGTCTCATAACCAAGTGTTACTTTTATCTATTGTTCCCTGAGACTTAAATATCTACATATGCAGATAAACAAGGAAGCAATGACAGAAGATATGAAATTGAAGGCTACTGGGGCTGAAGGTCTAATATCAAAAATATTAAAAAATAAAGATGACCTGTAAGTTCCAAGCTGAAATGGGTGCAAGTATAATAGATAAGAAATTTTAAAATAATTGCATGAAAATAATCTATTCAAAGCAAGGGGAGAACAGGGAAAAATTAACAGACAACATTACCTCCATGGGACTAATAAATTCATTCATGCCTCTGTTGTAGACATAGATCATGGCATCATATAGGCGATTTTCCCAACACATAAGAACTACCTGTAAAAAAGAAAAGTTACTTGCTCCATATAATTCAGCACATCTCACCAATTATTTTTCTTAAAGCTTTAAGAATGGAGAAGAGCTTAAATTCTCTTCCCTGATTTTTCTTACTCTTTCTCTGATAAAAACTGAAATTGAAATACTCAAACACAATAATACCTGGGTAAGTATTACTACAGGTTCACTATTATTTTAAATAGGGCAATAGCTACTTTTAAACATCCTTCAATGTCTACTTTTATTTCTTCTCTATCTTCCTCTTTTCAGAATTCATTTTACCTTTTTATTGGTGATACTGGGGTTTGAACTCAGAGCTTCACACTTAATAGACAGGCACTCTACCACTTGAGCAACTCCAACAGTCCTTTTTTGTGTTGAGTATTTTGGAGATAGAATCTCACAAACTATTTGCCCAGGCTGGCTTCAAACCACGACCCTCCTCATCTCTACCTCCAAGTAGCTAGGATTACAGGAATGAACCACCGGCATCTGGTTAGGATTCATTTTACTTTTAATGAAGAGTTAAAATATAAAAAATATTTACAAAACACCTATATTCAGGCTCTCTCCTAGGCACTGGCAATCCTGACCTAGGTCTTACCCTTATAGAAGTTACATTCATCTTAGATACCCACCAAAAGAAGGAAGGCGCACAAAATGGAATGAGCTAGTAATTGGGGAGGATATTTGATCACACAAATAATTATCTACAAATGTGATAAGCATTATAAAGGAACCTGACTTCTCTGCAGTATTCAAAAAGTCATCCCTGAGGGAGCAATGTGTAAGCTTGTATCTCAGGGATGCTGACATGTGAGCAGAAGCTGAAGGGGACTGAGGGACTCTGTAGGCAGAAGACAGTAAAGATGAAGGGCCTACAGTGGAAAGGAACTTGAAGTGTTTAAGGATGGAGAGACCCACTTGAGAAAATACGTAGGGGAAGGAAATAGATGAGCTGCAGTACAGGGCACTCTGTATTCTGGTCCTACGAGAGCTATGAGATACTATTAACTGACCAAAGGGCTAGAATAGAAGAGCAGAGGTTGGCAGAGGAGAATGATGGGGAGTAGCCAAAGGGAGAAGCAGTAAAATGAAAGTGAGGTGTCTTGAGACAGTCTTTCTAGAGGAAGGCATGTTCTGGGATCTCTTCTCTTCTTTCTCTACCCTTTCTCTCATCCAGGGTCATAAGCTTACATCTTCTTGTTGATGACTACCACACTTCAAGCTTCAGCCCTTCCCTTCCACCTGACTACCCACTTCCTTAATATCTTCACGGATGTCTAGCAGATATTGCAAAATAAAATAGCAAAGCAAGACTCCTGATTTTGTCTCTCAGATTTATACCTGCCCTAGTCTTTCAGTCTTCTTAAAGGAATCACTATCTATCCTGTTTTTAAGCAAAAAACACAAGCAACAACAAAAAAGTAGTCATTATTTTAAATTCTTCCATTCCCACAGTCCACATTCTCACATCCAATTCATCAGCAAATCAATTCTACAAAACATCCAAAACCAGGGCAATTCTCTCTATCTCACTGCTACCATCTCTGGGACCACAGTGATCTTGCTTGAAACATTCTGCTGATTTTCCACAGCACTTAGAATAAAATGGGAAAATCTGTACCTTGCCTTCTCTTTCTCACCAAGCTCCAGATCTATTTGCATTTCTTCTGTTACTTGAAAAAGGCAGAATCCTTTCTACCCTGTTTATATTAGCTTTGACCTATAACAGTTTTCTCTTCCAAGGTCTATGCATTACTGATTCCTTCCTGTCACTCAGCTTCCAAGACTCAACACTGTCTCCTCAGAAAGATTTTCTATATTTATCCAATCTCAGGTAGCATTTCATTCTCCCTCTACCATATCATCCTTTTTGATTTTTAATGTAACACTTGTTTTCTGATACCTTCTGGTGCATTTATTTGCTGTCAAAGTTTTTTGCTAAAATTTAAGCTTTATGAGAAACAAGCCTTGTTCACTAAGATAGCTGCAGTAACCTCAGAGCCTAACACTCAATAAACACTTTTTGAATCAATAAACAAATCCTGCAGAAAGAGCAAGTAAAATAAGGACTAAAAAAATTATTCGATACAGTGCAGAGAGGTCATTATTAGGATGTGAAAAAAGTGGAAATAGCAACCAATACAATGCTTTTAGAGAGTTCCTGTGTCTGGGAGGAAAGAGTCAGATTAGCAACCTGGAGGAAGGAAGAGGTGAAGGCTTGACGGGGAGAGGTGAAAAACTGAGGGGATGATTATTTGATTTTTGTTTCAGCTTAAAAAAAAGATCAAAGCATATTTACATTATGTTGGGGAAAAGCTGAAAATGCTGTTAAGAAATAAAAATTTCTCCTATATGTGACAGTCACATGAAGTTGGACTGGGAATATGCTCTGCTCTCAAATCACTGGAGTACTGTCAGACTGTATAGGCCATGCCAAATTCCCTGTATAATAGAGAGACATGCTAAAGAAAGGATCTGGCTTTACTTTGTACACTCACAGCAATTCCAGAAAGAAAACATTCACTACGTTTCCAAACCCTTCATTTCTATGTGATTTTGGACACTTTAAAAAGCTTTTGGTCTTTCTAAGAACTTTGTAAGTCACCCATATTTTAGCTCAAGAGGGCTTAGCACTTCTGCAGGAGAAAGATGATCATTATTGGGACTAATGTGGAATTAAAGAACTAAATTGTGAAATGTCTTAAGCCAGAATAGATAATGACCCTCAATTAAAGACTGAAAGCTTACTGTGGGAACCTCTGATACACTGGAGGCATATTATCAAACAGTGGACTGGCTGCTCATGCTAAGAAGTACTGTAATTTGCCTCTCATAACATCCTCTGCATTTCAAAGCTCAACTCTGCTTTATATACTAGCTGTTTAAAAAATGGCATCATTTTCTTAAAGGTAAAAATACTCTACTATTTGAGCTGGGGATGTAGATCAGTAGTAGAGTGCTTGCCTAGCATGCACAAGACCCTGGATTTGATCCCCAGCACTGCAAAAATTAAATAAACACACAAACAAAACATGAACAAATAAAAATATCCTACTATTCATGAAAGTACCCATAGGGTGAAATAGACCTGCTAGATGAAAGCCATGTTAGTGAACAAACTGTTGAAGGATCAGTCAAGAAGTGTCTGTTAAGCAAATATTAAATATAAACTCTATGCCAAAAGCCCTGGAGAACGTCAAAGAAACAGAAGACAACAATCCTTGGCTTGCAGGGGTTTCACTAACATACTGACAAATACACATTTATATAATAAAAATAAATGAATAAATAAATAAATGGGTTTGTAGAAGGCAGACTGAGGCCTTATCACTCAAGTAAATATAATCAATAAAGGAACACTATTTAAAGGAATGATGTTTAATAATGTTTATTCTGTAAGTTAGAAGATTGGCTATAAACTTACCTGCTGAATATCTAGGCTGGTAATATCCATATGTACAATGAGGGCTTCCACATTTTCCATTAACTTTTTATCTTGGAAATGAACAATCAAGTCTTTCATGACCTGGGGTGTGATCCCCACCAATTTATCACTTAAAATATATGGCTCAAGGCACTCCAGAAACACTCCTTTGGCCACTGAATTTTCACTTAATTTGTCATACATTTGGCTAAATAAAAGATCCCTATAAAAAAAGAAAGATAATAATTTTAGAAATACTCCAAATATCCATTAAATTTATTCTAAGTCTATCTCTTCTCTATTTCAACTTATTCATGAATTTATTAAAACAGTAAAAATATTTGTATAGAGCTTCATATTCAAAAACATAGCCACGTATGCATATATATGTGTGCTTGTGTGTATATGTAGTTATGAATGTGTGTATATACATATATACCCGCATGTATGTACATATACATATACACACATGTATGTATATATATATATATACTCAATTAATCTCCCTAGTACTTCTTTTACAAATAGGAGAAGTTATCATAAATGGTGATGTGCATGCCTGTAATCCCAGCACTTTGGAGGCTGAGGCAGGAGGACTGCAAGTTGAGGCCAGTCTGGACTACACAGTGAAATCCTGTCTCAAAACAAACAAAAACAAAACATAAATAAGAGAAGTTGCATAAGTTTGGTGGTTTGTTAAAGGTAACATAATGGAGTCAGAATATGAACCCAACCTTCTGGCCTAAATCCTGTGCCCAATCGATTCCAGCAGACTGCTTCTAAAAGGCAGTAATACAGATGTGGGAGCAGGTGAGAGCGGACATGAAGAAGTAGGAAAAGTAAAAAGGACAATTTGTAATTTATCTTTCCTCGTTTCTAGTACCTAAATATTCCTAGGTTACCTGAAGAGCCAAAAGCTTCTTGTCTTGCTCTAACCCTTTGCTTCCCAAAGAAAATCAGCAATGATTAAAGGGAGAAGAAAAGAAGGTTAATATTTAAAATATATACCTAGAAACAATTTTATGACAGAAAAAAAATTTTAATTTCTCTAAATGCCATCACCCCCCAACAATTGTGTTTTAGTTATTTCATATTTATTTTGTTAGTCCATAAATAATGAATCATATTCAGCATAGATACTACTCTGAATTCTGTTTTTATGCAATATCATAAGCATTATTTTAGCTGCTACTTGCTCTTTTTTGAAGTCTGCAACTTTATTCTATTGAATTTTTTAAAATATTCACTTTATTTTTACCTTTTTACTTTTTATTATTAATGTACTGGGGTCGTTTTATTTTTAAATGACACATAATATACATATTTCCAGAGTACCATGTGATATTTCAATACATGTAGGAATGTGTAATGATCAAATCAGGGTAACTGGCATATCCACCACCTTAGACATTTATCATGTGCTGGGAACATTCAAAATTCTCTCTCTCATGCTATATTTTGAAATATGCAATTAATTGTTATTAACCATAGTTATCCTACTATGATACAGAATGTTAGAAGTTATGTTCCTGGGGAAAGGGGATAAGAAAGAGTAGAGAGGGGGTGAATTTGACCAAAGTAAACTATATGCATATATAGAAATATCACAATGAAACCCCTTTGTACAATTAATATACACTGAAAAAAAAAAAAAGAAGTTACTATTCCTATCCAACTATATCCTGTACTTTTTTTGTTGTTGTTGTTTCTTTGTTTTTTGAGACAAGTTCTCACTATGTTGCCCAGGCTGGCCTTAAAGTCACTAACCTCCTGTCTCAGTCTCCTAAATGCTGGGATTATAGATATTTGCCAACAGCCTGGCTCCCTGTACCCTTTAATCATCCTCTCTCCACTGCATCCTCCTATATACCCCTTTTCTAGCCTCTGGTAACTACTATTCTACCCTCTACTTCTATGAAGTAAACTTTTTTAGTTTTCATGTGTAAGTATTTGACTTTTTGTGCTTGATTTATTTCACTTAACATAATATCCTTCAGGCCTGTCATGTTGCCACAAATGGCAGAATTTCACACTTTCATGGCTGAATAGTGTACCACTGTGCATATGTATTACTTTTGTCTTCATCCATTCATCTGTTAATGGACCTCTCAGTTGATTCTGTATCTTCGCTATTGTGAACAGTACCATAATAAACATGGGAGTGTAGATAACTCTTTGACATACTGATATCTTCCTTTTGGACATATACCCAACAGTGGAATTGCTGGATCATATGATCAGCCTATGTTTAGTTTTTAAGGAATCTCTGTATTGTTTTCCACTTTGGCTGTGTTCCCCTTTCTCTGCAGCTACTTACTCTTTAAAATAGCCACTTTGCCTATCTCACAATGCTTCAATATGTTGGAGTATCAGAATCTGCTTAACTATTCCTATGGTGTTAGATGTGTCACTTATTTCCAGTATCTCGAGTGATGCTCAATGAATATATGCATTATAGCCTTTCCCATGTGTGGGGGGGTCATAATTATTTAGTCATTGTTTTTTTTAGAAATTTAACTTAAGTGAAAAGATTTGGGAATTGGGGATGTAGCTCAGTGATGAGCATTTGCCTAGCATGCATGAGGCCTTGGGTTCAATCGCTACCACTGCAAAAAAAAAAAGAGGGGAAAAGACAGGAAAATTTCTGTACACTTCAAAAAGTAGCACAACATAAATTTATAGTTCCATCAGCAATATATAATTATACCAGTTTCACAAGACAATTGTGAGGTTTTTCCCCTGATAATAAGTACAAAATTAACCATCGTTTTTAATACTATGTTAACTGAAAAAATGGAGTATTTTCCATGTTTCCCTTTATAAATTATATTTCTTTGTATCATTCATTTATTCACTCATCCCACTTTTAAATGCAAAAACTATGCTAATTATATTTATCTTATGATAATTTATTTTATCTAAATGTGTAATTCTTTATATGTGTGTCATGTTAGTTTTGGAAAATGGGCAGATGGTTTGTTTATCCATAGTTGTGGTCTTTCATAACAAGTTCCACAAAAAAGTCAAGGAAGCTCTTGAAAAGAGTGAGTGGAGTAGGAGGTTGCCTCATCTGATGTCCTAGAAGGTGGGAATCAGTCTGGCTACAACTACACCAGAGTCTTGAGTACCTTTTAATAAATGGCATTTGCACTACCCTGGGGGAAAATCCATATCCACTTATTTCTTCCTGAAATGCACAAATGTAATTTTTTCCATCATTTTCCCTCCACTTCAACATTTTCATGTTGGTTCCATATTAATCAATAGTTTCATATTTTTGTGAGTACCAATTACTAGCCAAGCCAAAGAAACTGAGATTAATGAAGTTTTCCTATAACAAAGAAAAAGTAAGAGTAACAAAACAGTTTCAATGAATTCACAGAAAATGTCATATTTGCCAGCCCCCGAACTGCACAATGCACTGTTAAAAATAACATGCTAAGAAAGATAATTATATATTTTAGTTCAGTACAAAAGCCTTGTGAGAGTTAAAGGAAACTAAGAATCCCAGTAACACAGCATAAAAGCTGACAGACAGGGCAGCCCTGTGACAAAGGGCAACATGAGATGCTGGAAGATAACTGGCAAAGCCACACACTTCTTTCTTAACCAGTCAGAGGCTGTGCTAAAAAGCAAGAAAAATCAAATTCAGCAACACCTACCTGCATCTCTACCTCAAAATAAAAATGAAACAAAGTGCTAAGACATAGTCTTGTCATTTTGGAGAATATTTATTAGGGCATTGGGAGAGGGAAAAGAGAGAAAAGTACACAGGAAAAAGTTTATTAGCTCTTGCATTTCTTTCTATATTTGGGCATTACTCTCTGGGGGGTACTGACTTGGTTTCCTAGAAGGGCTGGCTTCAACCCTGTTGTTTACCATTTCAAGCTTAGCTTCCTCCAGCCAATGTAACAGAAAATCCATCGTGAATAATCAGGGCCAAAGAGGTCTTCCTAAAAACTTCACTTCATAATTCTCATATTAAAGTTGTTTTTGGAGTTTATCACTTTAACTTCAGATACAGAAAAAACGGTTAAATTCAACTTTGTACATAATCAGTTTATAATTTTTTAAATGTGAAGACATTTTAAACACAGAAGGGAGCCTGAGCAGTCAGCAATCAAAAACATTTGCTAACCTATATTAAAGACACAACCAGAGCCAAATAAAATTAATTCCCACTACATATAAGTGAATTTAATAAATTCCAAGGTGATTGAGCTACTCTCCTTACTTTTAAAAGTACAGGCAAAGTTAAAATAACTTCAAGAAATTATGTATATAATGCTATTTTCCTGATACAAGCTGTAATCCAGTTACTTAGGAGGCAGACAGGAGGATCATGGTTGAAGTCCAGCCTGGGCAAAACTTAGACACTATCTCAGAACAAGCCAGGCATGGTGTTGTAGGCCTGTCTGCATCCTAGCTACTTGGGAGTGAGATTGGAGGATCACAGTT